TCCAATTGGATTTTTATCAAATTGTATCCTATTGAAGAGAACTCAAATTGTATCATTATATTCACAATTACGTCTTATAACCTAAATGGTTAACACAGTTATTCAACTGGTGAATACAAACATAAATATTAATCAAAATAATTTTCCATTTCTACTCAAATCCTACAACTTTAAATCAGCAGCTTTCCTAGATATGTTAATTAAAGCGAATCAATCATAGTTTTTGGTACCATGGTAAAATAGCAATACTGAAGTAAAATCCCGAAAAATAGTCAAAAGTCATAATGGTGTATTTGAGGTTATATAAATCTTAGGGTCTTACATAATGGGAAAGCAGGAATTGATTCACTCATCTCCCTGATATAGGTTGTAAAAGAACACGTGATACGGAAGATATGTCACTGTATTTTTTCCCTCTCTATAAATTCATAAAATTTATATACTTTAATTAAACTATCATGACCCACTTAATTTATTATATACAAATCATATTATTTAAGAGTTATTTGCTTATTATGAATTAAGATATGATACATTATCTATCACGGTCCAAACTTACAAGCATGTTAAAAGACAGTCATCTAAGAGCATATCTAAGAGATTCTTTAAATACAAAATTTTATTTATTTTAATGGCTAACGCTTAAAAATAAATTTCAAAAGACTCTCTATTCTTAATGTACAATAATTGCATTTAGTAAGTCAAAGATTTTAATGCTCTATTTCTTAAATTATTCGAACCACATTTAAATTAATTGGCCATTGAAATATTTAAATAAAGTTTGAGGAGCAATCAATAAATATTTCTTGAGAAAGGTAAAATGAAGTGTCAAAATATAGAGCTTTGTTGGAGTGCATAAAAATTTTGATTTTCTAAATTTCAAAAAACTTTCTATATTGGATAAGACGTTCTTTATAACTGAAGAGTATCTTAAAGAGGCTCTAACTCTTTTTACTCATTAGTGATCACCTAAATGTTGTAAATTTCACCATGTTAGTCAATTTGTTATTCTCTGTAGCGAAGTAAAACTATTGCACCTGAGGAATTTTACAATGGAAAGATAATTTAAGTTAGATCTAATGCAAATTAACATGTGGCAATGTCCAAATCGTTAAAATTCGAAAGTCAAACCCTAACTCGACTCGACTCTAAATAACAAAGGGGGTGTTTGGTGGGGACTAAAATTAGATTTTAGTAGATTTTGATAGAAGTTTTTGAAATGTGTGGTTGAAAAGTTGTGGAACCCATAAAAGATGTTAATATTGATTGTTTGACTTGATTTTGATTAAAATCTAATTTTAATTTGTACCAAATAAGCTCAAAGTTTCCTTCGTACGAACCCTTTTTTCCAACTCTATCGACTATTGGTTTAGCATTATAATGTTGCCAAATAATCAACTTTATGTTGTACATTTCCTATGTTTTGTTAGATTTATGCAATAGAAATTAAGGGGTTGTTCTCTTTGTCTTTTCAATTCGTTTTCTATTTTCGATTTTTCAAAACAGTGAAAACACGTTCTCTATCCTATTTTCAAAAACGTGTTTTCGAAAACAAGTGTAAAATTTACAAAGAAAACTCAAAATGACAAATTTGTCGTTTTGGGTGTTTTCAATTAAAATCAAGTCAAAATTTTCAAAATGGGTTTTCGGTGTTTTCAACCACCGTCGGAGCAGCAGAACTACCACCATCACCGCTCGCACCACACCCAAACTCATCGTAGCTGAATCACCACTATCGCCGACCACACCATACCACCAACAACCACCGCTGCCGCCGCCACAAGACCACCACCACCACAACAAAAACACGACGCCTGCAGCATGCTACCACCCTAAACTACCACCGCTAACAAAAAAAAAGAACAACAAAGGATTGCAAATCGATAACAGGAAGAAAAAATCCACCACGACCCAACCGCACACCACCATTGCGACCCAACCACAGCATCCAACCGCACACCACCACCGCGACCCAACCATTTTCAGCCACCACAAAAATGGGGAAGAAGAATGGGGAAGAGAGAGAGAGAGAGAGAGAGAGAGAGAGAGACACACACACACACACACACACACACTCACATACACAAAGGAAAGAAGAACGGGTTTTGGGTTTTTTAATTTTTGAAAACAATTTTTCAAAATGTCAAAAAGAACATATTTTCGACAATTTCAAAATGGACACTCAAAACATAAAACTCAAAATGAATTCAAAACTCAAAATACAAAACTGAAACACAAAGAGAACAGTCCCTAAAAGTTTATTTGAGCTCTATATTTTTCGGAAAATGAATTTTATAATAGTAAATTTTTAGAGAATGTGTTGTTAAAAAGTATGAAAATTTTTGAATTTACGTGCAAAATTATTTTATTTGGAAGAGTATGTAGTTCAAAATAAGTTTTAAAAAAATGAATTTCTAAAGAATGTGGTTCAAACAAGGACAAAGTGCTCGGCTCGTGAGCTCGTAGCTCGTTTCTCCACGAGCCGAGCTCGTGGCTTTAAGGGCCGAACCGATTTGATCCATTGACATCTCTACGATACATAGTTTTACCATTGATTTGAGATTTTAATAATACTTAATCAGATCAATGATCACGATTTTGACACTTCAAAAGGTGTGAAAATAGTAGTATGCCCATGGTATACCACTAGCTTAATTTCTTGGAATATATTGTCAATACCCAGTCCGCACCTGTCTAATGAGAAACTAACTAATAACCAGGACTTATTAATTATAAAAACAATTTCTTTGCATTTCGTTCGGTTTGAATTATTAGCTATTTGTTTTCTCTAATGTTTTATTTTATTAGTTTGAATCTTTATTATAATTAAAAAAATAGTAAAATCATTATTTTTAAATTATAATTATAATAAGTGACTACAATTGTTTTAAAATGAGTGACGAAAATTGCAATTGTTCCTCATCAACAAGGAAATTTCATCAGTTATGAGCGACAAAGGCATACCTCATTGCATAGTGATAAATAACTTCCCTCACTAATATCCATCTCAAATAATCGAAATAAAATTTTTATTACTAATAGTCGTTGTCCCAATGCTCATTGAGGATGAAATTTAATCTTCAAACTGAGTTTCTCGTAGCAAGTATATTTTGTTAGGTCTGAACATTTTAATTGGAATAGAAATCGGAGGTTCCAGTCCGTTCCAAAAAATGAAATTAGGAATCGAGAACCGACTGGGTTTGAGTCGGTTCTTGGTTCCTGAATCAGAATCGTGGGGTATTCGAATGTAACCAATTTTTTATATAATTTTCATTTATAATTTATAGGCCGGGTTAAAAAATAAAAAATCTAAAATTCCTAATTTGGTTAGTAATTTGTTAAAAACTCTAGAATTTAACCATAAGATCGACTCCTACTTTTTTGCCTCTCGCCTCACATCAAATTGTTGTATATAAGAGGTTAGTACATGCTAATATTTACAATTTGGGATTTTTATGAATCAAAAAGTTGAAGCTATATTGTGTAAATTGATGAATTAAAGCATTCATTCTTTGTAATTTGAGCTTTTTATTTTTTAGTAATGCTTGACAATTGAACTTGATATATTCATAGCTTCGACAATGGTGCATCTTTTTTGTTATTTTGAGTTCATTGTTCTTTTTTGAAATATGAATTTTTTTCTTTTTTTCTTTTTATTTAATAAAACACAGCAAGTTCAATATGTGGATTGCAATTTCTTGATACTATATAATTATGTATCTAATTAGGATTTTTTATGCCAATTTATTTTAAGAAGAGAAGAATTTCAGCTGTGTTGATAACTAAATTATAGGCTTTAACATGCCTCACTTATAGATTGAATAAGAATTATTAAGAAAAAACAATCTCTTCTCAAACCATTATTTAATTTTTAATGTTTAATTTTCTCATATTTTCATGGTTTTTAGTCTCCACTATTTTGCTTCTTGAAAAATTTTTAACTAGATTTTCTTCATTGCACAAATATTGTGGGCTATTAGCGTCTTATGTATATGTATTGAAAGTGCTTATATGAAAATATTTATTAAATGTATATAAAAATAATGTTATGTTTATAATCGCACCTGAACCGGAACGAGAACCAACGCTTCAAGTTTGGATTTGGTTCCACTAATACGAGGACCCATATGGTCCCATTTATGAAATATTAGTAATATAATTGGTGAATTCTGGTATTAAAATACTCGGATCGACCCATTCCATGCGCTAGGCCTATATTTTGTAGTGTTATTTAAATTCATATAATTAATGTGTGAGCTCCATTCTTTTAAATTTATTTTTCTTCAAATTCATTTTTAACAATACAATCTCTTAATACAATAATTTTGTACGTAAATTACATTTTTTTTTTTTACTTTTGAACAAAATATTCTTCAAATTTTTTTTTTTTTATAAAACCTATCTAGAAAAATGGACCTCAAATAAAAACATAATGTCATTATCACGTGTGTACATAAAATTGCTTAATTATAATCAATCAAATGTCCAAATACATGACCGCAAATCCGTCTTAATCAAAGTCATCACATCATTCAATGGGTCACAACGTCGGCAACTCGGCATGCTTATGCATTATACAGTATTCTACACTTATCTTAGCCCCTGTTTAAGCCTTTTTTTTTTTAGAAATTAGTTTTTGAATAGTAAATTTTTGAAGAATGTGTGATTAAAAAGTAATAAATTTTTTTTTTAGCTTACAGGTAAAATATTTTATTTTGTAAATGTGCGATTGAAAATTAGTATGAGAAAAAAGAGTTTTGAAGGAATTGTCACCAAACAGGACTCATATTTACAATACATGGACAATTCTTAAATACCCAAATATATGAACACATATTCTTCTAACATTTACACCCATATATACATCAGTACTTGATTTTTATTAACATTATACTTCCTTTTTTCGTTTTTTATCATATTATACATACATATTTGTCTTTATTCCTAGACATTAAAACAAAATAAAACCATACGGTATTTTCTACACATGACTGATTGATCTAATATGGAAAATTGATCTCTTCTTCATCATCCTCCATGGACAAAAAGACTTCATCAAGATACGAGAGCTCATCTCCATCACCGTCACTTTCGGGGAAATTCATCCCATCAGAACTTATATTTGCCTCATGAACTCGGCATAGAACCCATTCATCTAAGTCCTATATAAAGTAGCAGAAAATTTTTATCTGAGCAGCCAAATAATTGTAATTTCCAAATCGAGTTAGCTGTATTTGGGATTTGCAAAAAATAATCTTTTTTTTAAAAAAAAAAAAAAAGAGAAATTCTAAATTTACAAGACAAATTAAAGTGAATAGTTGTCTTACTTGGATCTGATTCTGTCCTCTTGGTGAAATAAGTAGACGATATTCTTCCATTATCCAATTGGTTTTGTTCTCTGAGCGAACATCATCAATGTAAAACACAAGATATTTCTTGATTCCAACTTTGTTTCCAGTGCTTGAAAGTATGGGCTCATCAACACCTATCTCCTTCCAAAACCCATTTTCCGCAGCTCGGTTTTGCATCTTTCGGCTGAAGAAATACCACTGCCTTCGACTCACAAAGGCCTTATCTATAGATGCCAACACAAAAAATAAAAATAAATAAAAAGTAAATAAAAATAAAGAGGCAAAACAGCATACCCTGGTCATAAAAGTGATGAATGCCGAAGATAAAATTTAAACAAATAGCATCTTCAACTTTTAAATGAAATGGTTCAATATTTAATATGAGAACGGACAAAGATCATGTTATCAAATTTTACCACCTCCTATTTATGAAAACCGTGCACTTGTCGATGACCTTTGATAAACTCGAATCCCTTTTTGCGATTCAATAATCAAGAAGTATCATTGAGAAAAAAATGGAAAAATCAGAGCTGCCCAGAAAAAGGAAAGCCTGGAGGAGATTTTATACCATTTAACTCCCACGGATGGGGCGAATAAAGATTAAGATCAGGGATAACATTAGGGTAGCAAGGCAAGCTTGCAGCCTTCTGACACAGAAAGTAAACTATAAGCTCTTCATCGGTCGGAGCAAAACATAAACCAGGAGGCAAAGTCAATCTTTCTTCTTCCATCACTGCAGTATGAAAGTAAAAGGAACTCTAAATTGTGGTTGTAGTATTGATTTCCTTGACTATATGCAGTTATATATATCATAATAAAGAGTGCAATGACAAATATTGTTGTTTATATATATATGTGTGTATGTTAGAATTTGGCTATAATCCAATTCTTTGTTAAAGATAATTGGAAATTCCAATTAAAGTGCACTTTAAGAGGAATTCTATTTCGTATTATTTGAAGTTATATTTGTAAGACCTATTTGGGAGTTTGGATTTGTGTTGAATTTAAAGAGATCAAGGTAAGGAAATTTTTGGGCATTTTAATTCATCTATAATTCTACTTCTAGGACTTGCATTGTTCTCTCTATATATTTGATTCTCTCTATAATTTAGTTGAATTGGTTTTACCCCATTATGAGTTGTTAACCTCATTATAGGTTAGTTTAACCTTATTGGGAGTTTATTTATTCCCGTTTTTAGTTAGATAAATTGTAAACACAAATCATTATAATTCTTTATCCATATTTTAGTCTATAAATTATATTCTTCTTGTGAGTTTGTGATCGTTACTTCATATTGTGCCTATAATCTCGTATCTTCTTCAAAAAATTAATATATTTTTTGTTTATAACAACTGATATCAGAAATATCCAGTATCATCTTCGAAAGAAGTATAATTAAAGAGTACTGTACATCATATCTGAGTGTTAGAAGGCGATTGGTAAGAGGAGAAAAGTATATTAAATTGTCTTTTAACAGTTGGTGGATATGTTTTATGTTTGAAGTAACTTTCATATAGGGATGTCAAGGTGGCTTGGAGGCTCCGGCGGCCTATAGCTTGGACCGGGAAAAGCTCTAGTCGGGCGCTCGTGGCTCCGTTCCATGGGGCCGAGCCCCATTTTGGGCTATCAGCTTGAGCTCGAATTAGCCCTTAACGATTCGAGTCGAGATTAAAAAAAATAAAAATAAACTTAAAAAATTATAAAAAATGCAGTTGCAGGCATCTAACGTATGCATCTTTTATTTATAAAACAATTACTATTTGAGAATGTATGGACAAATCACTAATATTTTGAATCCAAGCCCCTGTTTGACCTCCTTTCTTTCGTGGGAATTTAATTTTTTCTACATGCGCGTGGGCCCGAATATCACACCATACAATCATTTCTCATCACTTTCATTTGCCACATTGGCCGTTTTTATTGGTATTTTGATTTGTTCCAAAATTGCCCTCTATTGCAATTTTCATGGGTATCGAGAAAAAACAGGGGTAAAGTAGTAAATTGGTAGTATTTCATTGAGGGCAGGAATGGGAAAATGAAATTTCAACGGGTGATTGTGCATTACTTCAATTTATGCGTGTCAGGTGTCACTTTGATTTTAAAATAATATACTACTGTTCCAAAATTTATGATTTCTGCAAAATGCGGGCAAACACTAGCTAAAATTAAATAATTCTTTTTCTCATTCCTTTAGATTGAGTCTACCTTTACCAGAGGTACAATATAATCAATTTCTTTTACCACCACATCAGTTGATGTTAATTTTGGTCTACATTTCGTCAGTGCATTTTAGTGAATTTGAATGGGTATTAATCATCACAAAAACTGAGATATTTTTTCTTAAAGAAATTGATCATATCATAATTTGAGAGAGGGCAATGAAGATTCAAGCTAAATGAGTCAATGGCACAAAAATAAATAAATAACACTAAAAGTTGGTTACCTCCTCCAACTTTAGTCCATCGTCTGGAAAAAGGAGGAGGGTTGTAACTTTTATTTAATTTATAATACGTATAAATTGCACAAATTTTAAATTCTTTAAAAATAATTTAGATTTGTTACGAAAAAAAAAAAAAGAAAAAAAATCGAGCCGCCTCGACTTGGGTCGAGCCTGAATTTGTTGCTCGGCTCGGTTCGGGCCAAAAAAAGCTCGAACCATTTCTGCTCGAGTTTCGGCTAGTGGCTCAACTCGGTTCAGCTCTGCTCGACTCGTTAACACTCCTACTTTAGTGGTGTCTTAGTTTTGTCAAGCATTAATTTTTTAATGGTATCATTACATAGATATATTCTAATAATATCATTTGAATAAAAGTTGAATTTTCCTAGATCAAAAGTAAGCTCACATTTTAGGTCAGTAAATTGTTGATGAAGGAATGACTAGAGGATAATGACACCGTTACGCCATGAAAAGCTAGGACCTATGAAAGGGGCCAATTAGCCTACGTGGCAAATAGTTCGGGGGCCCATGCCTCATACGTTGGCATAGGGCGGCCCAATTGTATACGAGCAAACCAATCCAGGTATGAGTGACCTAACTCTCCCACATAAAACACCTGGACAGACCCCTTTACAGGCATACCCCATTGACAAAACCGGCCAGGACGAGGTAGTGGCAAGATCTCGAATGGATCCCAAATGACATGAGTTGACAAGATAACTCATTGCCACCGCCATCGCCATTGCCACCATCCTGTTTGATGAAGTCTAAAAGTACATGCTAGGCTTTATAGACACAAAAATGGTGATAGCATTTAAGGCAAAGATTGATTGATGTATTTGACAAGAAATGGAAGTCGTTCAGATGAGGCTACGTGTGCTACCATCCAATGGACTCTATTCATTTCGGCTAAGTATAAAAGCTCACACTTAGTGTCATTCGAGGATAATGTAAGTTTAGACTCTCAAAACTATATCCTTGCTATATATTTTCTCCCAAGCCCTCCTTTTATGCTTTGGAGGCTCACGTTCAAAACTTTCTCACACTCTAAACTATCTCTTTAATCGACTTGACCATCGGAGTACGCGCAACCAACTCCATCCCCTCAAGGGAAGGCCATGTGTGACTAAAGATTCATACAAGTGTGCAGAAATTCAGCTTCCATGGACGTGAGAGGTCTTGAGATTTGTTGGCTATATCATTGGTACATTCTTTTGGGTCAATAGATTGACGTCGGCTGTGGAAACTTCGACTCCATAACCAGGAACACCTTGTGGTAAAAGTCGTCTAAAACAAAACCTTGAAGAAAGGCTTGGACCTTAAGGAAATAACCGTCGCAAAGAAGGAACATGCTAAACGCCCATTTTTAGCTCAAAGTCAAATACTCTTTATGAGTTCTAGCCATCACGGATAGCAGAGTAGAAATAGGTAGCAAGAGGCTTCTAAAGAAGAGGTCCTCTGCACAAATGTGAACATGCGTTGTCCCCATCATCAACACAGGTGAGGCGGTACCACAGCATGCTTAGCTAGGGAAGTAGGGAAAATGACCACGAATATGAGAAACATGGCCCAACAGAACACTGTCATGCAGTAGTTACTCATGCAAATGCACCAACATGCAGGATATCAGGTTTCGGTACGGAACATTTCCCCAAGAAGGTGAGGAGAATCACACGACAACATACCCTCAAGCGCATGGCAAGGATATCAGCCCAGCAGAGAGGGTGGTGGAAGTAAATACCTTCACTAACTACGTTACAAACCGACCCAACGATAACATGCCGCAAGAGGGAAACTTTCCACCACAATACACTCAAGAGCATAAAATTCAAAGGTCCAACAACATTTTTGATCGAATCGGACCCTCAATGCCTAGAAATAGGTCCCATCAACCACCCTCTGTTCAAAGAGGACAAGAACAATACCATGAATATGAACCTCAGGGGATTCCACCTTCACCTAGAAATAGGCGAGAGAAAAGAGATGAGGTGAACTTGAGAAATCAAGTAGAAACGTCACAACCCCCTCGTTATCAGGCAGAGGAAAATGATTCTGATGGCCCATGCAGATCATTTGAGTTGGATGATGATGACAAATGCTTGCCCTTTCCCAGAAGTTGAGAAGCGCCCCAGTTTCAAATCACTTTGTGCTCCCAAAGATACCCAAATATGAAGGAAAATGTGATTCGACAAAACACCTCAACAACTACAAGACACACATGTCTCTACAAGGAGTCTTGCCGACGTTAAAATGAAAAGCTTTTCATCTCACACTAACTAGGACTGCAAAAATTTACTACAACTGTATCCCCGCGGTAGTGTCAGAAGTTGGCCAAACTTTAAAAAGACATTTTTAAACTAGTATATGTCTAGTAAAGAAGGGAAAGCCCCCATCCAAAGGCTGCAAGACATGAGGCAGCAAGTAGGTGAAACCTTGAAAACCTACTTGGCTCGCTTCACAGACAAGATGACCTATTGCGATCATGTTACGGATGAGAAGCTATTTCTGCTCTAAGAGGACACTTCAACATGAACACACTATACTAGAGGGACGTGCGAAATAAAAACCCCACTTCTTATGATGCCTTGGTGAAAATGATAAAAAGTGAAATTATTAATGAAGAGCTGGTTGATCACCGTAATACAACCTCACTGGGACTCTCATTACCTTTAAAGACAGTGAAGAGGCCCTGTATGCTACTTGGTAGACCCGTAGTGGACCCAAGCAGGACACACGATAGCCACAACTCAGGCCAAGCGTTGGACACAACCACGTTAAATGCAGTACCCTCTTTGGCGTATAAAGAAGTTGGACCTAAGGCTCAAAGGTAGCCGAATCCATCCAGGAGAAGATGCAGAGGGAGAAACAAGGAGCCTCGGGATAGGTAATATTGTACCTACCATCGAACCAATAGCCACAGCACCGAGAATTGCCTGTCAAGGACGTCTCATGAAGAATCGACAGGCCCCCACATTGAGAGAAAAAACACCCATCAGACATAAAGGAACGTATTTCAGTTGAGGCAAGAGAGAAAACCTAGACATAATGAGGTAAGGCGACACTGTAGGAATGAATCGCTTCGACGGGAACACGAGGAAGAAGAAAATAGGACAAAAGGAGGGCCAAGGCCCAGGAGAGAGCTCCCGACCAATGCTGATAATGTCCTAATCAGAGAAATTGACACCATCATAGGTAGTCCACACATAGGAGGAGAGTCCAGAAATGTTTAGAGGGATTATGTGAGGGAAGCAAAGGACCCCTCCATGACGAGCTACTTGATCAATAACGCTGGC